ACAGATATTTGTGCAAATAACAGAGTACTGTCTGGGAAGATGTTGCCCATAGAGGTTGTGGATGCCCCATCCCAGGGCCAGGTTGGATGAGGCTTTGAGTTACCTGGTCTAGCGGAAGGGGGCCCTGCCCATGGGAGGGGGTTTGGAACTGGATGATCTTTAAGGTCCCTCCCAACTCAAACCATCCCATGATTCTATGATTTTATGTAGGTTGGTTAACACGGTGCCTTGAGCGCTTGGCATTGGAGACAGTTTTGGAGCACGTTGGTCTGCTTTTCCGTCCTCCACGGCGTTATCTCAGCTTGAAGAAAGGGAGGATGTGAAGTTGTGGTGACGATGCTCTGTGGTTGAGGGAGTATGTGGCAGTGCTGGGAATGGGACAGTGACGCCGGCAGGTTGGCACCCACCGAGTGCCACGGCACGGTGGCTACCGGCGCTCGCCCTGGGGCTAATTCCGGTCTCAGTCTCCACTAAGTAGGTATTTCTGCAGTTTTTAAGGCAGAAAAGCTGCCTGCAGTGTGCCCACAGCCACGTGCCTAAAGGGCTCGTGTGTCTCTAACACCCGAGACCGGCCGGGAAACGCGGAGCAGCCGGGACATAAACGCAGAGCTATGGAAGTGCTGTCTTTGTACGTGAGGATCTCGTTAGCTGCCCTGCCCCGGGCTGTGCCCCGCTGCCCTCTCCCTGTGGCAGCCAAGGGGCGAGGCCACAGAAACAATGAAGAATAAGCCAGTGCACAAAATAAAGGCGGAATTGTTCTCCCACTGATGTAACTTCAGCGATTGTTAATTTGTCGGTGGCCGAGGGCCCCTGAGTACAGTACATTTTGGTTATTCTTCCCCTGGTCTCTTATTAATCCTGACATAGTCCATGAGCCTCGGGAGATGAATGGGAGGTTTGGAATCCCATCTCCTTGGGCGGACAATAGGTTTTCTGTTCGACGCGCTTCCCGCGTCTACAGGCGGTGCGGCTGCGCGGCCGGCACAGGATCGAAAAGCTTGCGAGCAGGCATCTCCGCGGGACTCTGTCCCTACCCTGACAGGTGAATTCCCAACCTTACCAAGGGTAATGGTAAAGATCCTCTTCATCTTCCTCAAAGCCAGGATTTTATCCTGGATTTCTGTAGCAAGTCGGCATCAGTCAAGCAAAAGCAGCCGAGTCAGTGCGTAAATAACAGCAGCTCCACAGCGTTGTTCGCTGAGTGTGTCCCTGCGGCCTGTCTGTACTGGGAGAATCCTGCAAGGACATGCTGGGATTTTTGCAAGGTTTGAAGGTCGTGTACGCTTACAGAGTGGAAAAATCCTGTCCCTGTCTTGGGACTGCCATTTCTGCCGCTGGGAAACCAGCAGCTCCTCTGCTCCCGGGTATTTGAGCTAATACAGGCGGATTGTTTCGCTTTGGTGCTCAGCACAGGCAGAATTTCAGCATCTCTCCAGCCCTGACCAGGTGTCTGCAAACACATGTGGTAGTCGAAGCCCGTTCTTCCCGACCCGTCTCGCGGCTGGGAGCCGAGCGGCTTCTGCCTCCCAGCGCTCA